TGGTATCTTATTTGAATAATTTTGTGCTCTTCATTGAGCTGAATCAACAAATGTATTCATTATGGTGACAACATACATTGTTTATTATGGTCATTTGTTCTTTTTTGTTTAGAAGTAGATTATTCTTACTATGAGGCTACTTCTAATGCACATGCTTAGGGTTTGCTAACTGAATTGATTTAATGCTGATACTTTTTAGGTATTTTAAACCAATTTTGGAGATTTTCAAATCTAGTAGAGGTGTGCTACTATATTGGTCCATATTGGATCGATACCGATAAAAGGAAAATTGACGTTATTGGCAATTACCTTTGTTGGCCAGTGTAGCCGCGTGCATGGGGTGGGGGGTAGGGGAGTAGCTCTCTGCTGCTGTGTGCACCCCCAGGGGAAGCATGGGGGGGCATGTGCTCCTTGGATTTGTGTGCAGGATGAGCTGCCCACTGCAGGGCTCAGTGCCGGGGGCTGTACTTGGGGTGGTCGGGGGTGGGTGTTGGCAGTGGCGCTCAGAGGGGGGCCACAGGGTGGACTATAGCCACCCTAAAATTCCCCATAGCCCCCTTCACAGTGCTGTGGCCAGCACAGCCCCGGCCCTGAGCCTGCAGCAGGCAGCCCCCCCTTGCCCTGTGCACAAATCTGGGGGCACATGCCCCCCAAGCCTCTGCTGGGGTTGTACACAGTGGCAGAGATCACCCCCCTGCACCATCCCATCTGCGCACGCCAGATGAGCCTACTATGGATCTGTCCCACGCCCTGCTTACCCTGGCTGGACTGCACCTGCCCCAGCCCATTCCCTCCCTCACCATGGGGGTCTTAATCTGCCTCCCTCCCCCCCTCACACTTAGCACCCTGATGCTGCTCTCCTATCTGTCAGGCTGCATATTGGCTATTGGATCGGTATCAGCGGCTACGGCTGGTTAATAATCGGCCCTTGGTATTGGCCAAAAAAATCTTTATTGGTGTACCGCTATCCCTAAGCCCTATCCCTAAGTGTTGGGAGGTGACAAATTAGATTATTTTCTTAAGGTGTAGTTCCTACTAGGGAAGAAAAAATTAATAGAAAAACTTTGCCATCAAACTTGATTTTGATCATGCCCTTCAAGTAGATTCTCTTGCTTGCTCGCTTGTTATAGCTTCCCTCCTTGTTGGAGTTAAGGCCTCAGGGAAGCAAACAGCTGCCCAGTTGAAAACTACCGAAATGAACTTCGTGTAAATCTTGTAATTTTAATGGGAAAATCACAAATAAAGATCAGCAGTGTAATTTGTTTTTTTTACTAGCATCTTTTTTTTTTTTTAATGGCCTTCACTTAGTCCCTTTGCATTTTATACCTGTTTTACTGCAGAATGGTTTAAATTAAGTTTTTGGGTCATGCAACGTCTCTTGCAACTTGTATGTGCAGAAAGCAGCAGTTAAATACTGACTAAATTCTAATATCTTTAGATATTACCATATTAGACATAAGCAATTGGAGTAGTGCTGTGCTACAGCTTGTCGTCTCACTGTAAGCCACTGAGGGTGGTGAAGTGGCATACAATGATGACTTCTACCTCTCTCTCTGTTTTTAATTTGTTTTGAATCTTGTGAAAGTGTTTTGTTGCAATTTGGCTGTCCTGCTCCCTGTCTCTTACCTCCACTTTGCTGCACATGCTTCTTTTTACCTCCCTTCCTTTCCATTTTTTTAAAAAATTCAGTTTATCCTCTCCCTATGGCACCCTCCTTGAATAAAAATTGTGGAATTGTAACTTTTTCCCCACCACATTGTATGTTTTGCATGTGTGCAAAAAGGTATAGCTTGCATATTTAGTATGCAAAGGCCATTGGGTTTGGGCAGTCTTTTACTGGGAATGTAACTAGTTTGTGGCATTTTGTCCTTGGTTGACCCTTATACACCAGCATAATTTAAGGTGATATTCAAATGGTCATGCCACACAGATTGGCAATAATTGTTTTGAGACTTTATGGCTTATGTTTATTTACAGTGCTTTTTTTTAATTTTAGAAAGAAAGAACTTTCAACTACCAAGAAAGATCGAGTGAATCACTGCCTGACGATATGTGAAAATATAGTTGCTCAATCCTTAAGGTAAGACTTTTTTTTTTTTTTAAATTCATTTTAGCAATGTGGGTAAAGTTTTTATGAAGTCTTTTTACAGCTTCCACACTTAATCAGTATTCAGTTTTAAATATTTAACCTCCTCTTTTCACACAACGTACATCAGGGTTTGACTTCAGCAGGCTTTGTAGGGACCTACCACAAATTTTATACTTTTTATGGACAGGCCAGTGGCGACGACCTGGTGAG